AGAAACCAAAACATAGTTGAATAATGATTTTTCAATATCGTAAAGATATGATACTATGTAAAATATTAATTCATTTGAAACTTTTGTTTGAACCATCTTTAAAATTCATTTATGAAAAACAGATTATTTATAAACGAGAATATTAATAATAATTTATTAAATTTATTGATATAAAATCTCATAAAGAATATCTAATTCTTGATTTTCCAAATTTCTTTCAATATAAAGATTTAATTTTTCAACAATATTATGTGGATATGTTAAAATAACATTATGTAATATAGCTGCATTCATAGCTTTTGGTGAATAACCAACAGGAGTAACGATAACTCCTTGACTATTATAAATATTAGCAACATTAGAAATTCTTTCAATTTCATTAAATCCAATCTTCTTAAAACGTCTTTGTTTACAGCAAACTAAAAAATCATAAGAAATTTTATATGTCATGATATCTTTATCTCTATCATCACGAATATGATTTGTTATAAAATTCTCATTATTTTCAAAATCATCAAATTCCAATAATTGAGAAATATTATTTTTAAATTCAAGCGTAGCCTTTTTATGATTATAAATTTCTATAATCTAAATAAAAAAAAAATATCATGAATATTTTATATCATCCAATACTCAAGATTTAACAATTTTAGGCTTAATCTTAATAGGAGCCAACTTAATGCAGGCTATTAAAACTCCTAAAACCCTCTCATCTAATAAATTTTCTTTCAAAAGGCGATTCTTTTGCAGGGACCCCATACACAAAAGCTCACTCCTTTCAGCGTTATATAGAAAATTTATATATTTAACATATAATATTCATGATAAATACCTTTTTAATTTTCAGATCAGACCTTTGAAAAAAAAATAAATTTTATTCATTGTTTATATAATTTTTTAATTAATAATAAAATGAAATTTTTTTTTTAAAAAAAAATACATTAATCGATAAAATAATTTAAAAAAAAAATTGAGAAACTTCGTTTTCATTACAAAAGTAACTACTTAAGCATGTTTACTAACGTCAAGGTGTTTTTCATAAACATGAAAAAAAATATTTTGTAAAAACTTTTTATAAGGGAGAATATATCTTCGTAACCCTAAGTCGTATAAGATCAATCCTCACTCAAAAAGAGATTCAGAATTAACCTCTATGCAAGATATATCTTTAAGTTTTTATTTTTAAGATTATAAAAATTTTTTATTAAAGGATCAAATATATGGGCTAATAATCAGGAGGATCTCCGAAAGGAATGCGTGACCTACATTTCGAGAATATCATCTAACAAAAAGAATACCAGGAAAAATATTCTTATGATATTCTGTCTTCAACTGCGACGCACAATTTGCCTTTCGTTATAGTATGCTCATACATGATCGATGGATTTATATTAGCCTTGATTCTTTCGAGACTTTAACTCGATAGCAATACTCAAATATTATGAGCGTAAACTAAGTTTCTTTGCAAAGAACTAAACACCAAAAGACCTTGAAAAAATATCATTAATTAGTAATAACAAAAGAAAAAAAACTAACGAACTCTAACTTATGAATGTCCTATTTTATGCGTATACAACTT